CTCTTGTGGCATCTTGTATCCATTTTGGAGCCATCTTGGGAGTGGGCTCTTGGGAGACCGTCCTGGAACCACTCAAAGCCATTTTCGGGCGAGGCACACGAGCGCTGTCTTGGCTTCCTCTGGAAGCAGCATGCGGCCTTCTTGCAGCCCTCGTGGGGCAGTACTGGGCCATCTGGGGACTTGCTTAGGGCACTCTTAGGGCCCAGTTGGCACATTTGAGGTGATGTATGATGTCTCCGCGGATCAAGCCGAACCACCTTGATCCCAGAGCTGGGGAACGCAACAAAAATACAAACTCGCCAGCCCAACGAGCCAGAGGCGTGTTGTCCCTGGTAAGAGCTGAAGAAAATGCCTAATTCTCGCGCACGTGGCGGCCCGAGGGGGTCCACGGACGAAAACGACCCTGGCAAGATCCCAGCAAGTTCCCGGCAGCTCATGGCAGGTCTGGATCAGAGATGCCAGAACTCCTGGGCTCGGCCTCCGATACCCCACGAGCGCCCCAACGAGGCGCCAAGTGGATTGCACGTCCCATGGCCTCAAGCGAACAACGTTCCAAAATGGCCTCAGTAGGTCCCAGGACGGCCCAAGAAGAGCCCAGGAAGCCCCAGGACGGTTCCAAGAGGACTTCGAGACGCCCCAGAGACACTAACATCATTGACATTGCTTGGGTGTTCGGCGGTAGTCCGCCTTTTCGGTCTGCCGACCGCCCTGGGCGGCTAAAGAAGCCACCAAGATCGCCCCAAGACAGCCCAAAAGACCCCCGGGGCGGGCCCGAGGCAGCCAAAACGAACCGCAAGACGGCCCAAGAGGTCTCCCCAGAGGGCTCCCGAGTCTCCCGCGAGCGCCCCAAGAGGCGGAACCCAACCCGCCCTATTTCGAGCCTTCTGGAAGGATCCTCCTGTAGAGGGACACGCCCGATTTCAGCTCAGTGGTGGGTGGTGGACCGCCCTGGACGGCCCAAGATCAAGGGGCCCAAGGACACACAAATAAACACACACACACACACACAAAAATAACAGGATCCCCCATACTTTCCCAGATGTTCTGGGTTTGTGTCCCCCCCCACACTTCCCATAGTTTCCCATATTTTCCTGGGGATCGACGATTAATTGTATCTGTGTGCTCTTTTGGAGTCCCGAAACGGTGCGGTGACGGACCGTGCGGTGACCTCGAAATCCCCCAAGACCTCACCGCACGGTCCGTCACCGCACGGTCTTGGGACCCCGGAGGCCCCTGTCGCCCGAGACGTCCTCGGAGAGGGACCCGAGTCCCGAAACCGTGCGGTGACCCCGAATCCCCACTAACTCACCGCACGGTGTGGTCACCACCTGAACCAAGATCGCCGAGTTCTTTCCCCTCCTGGACCAAGATCGCCCCAAGGCGGCCCAAAAGGCCCCCGGGACGGGCCCGAGGGGCGGCCCAGAGAGAGCCCCCGCCGGGCGGCCACTACAATACACACAAATAACAGGATCCCCCATATTTTCCTGTATTTTTCTGGGTTTCTGTGTTCCCCCCCCACTTTCCATATTTTCCCAGTCATTTTCCTGGGGATCGACGATTACTTGTATCTGTGAGTTCTTCCCCCTCCTGAGCCAAGATCACCCCAGGGCGGCCCAAAGAGAGGCCCCCGGGGGCGGGCCCGAGAGAGGCGGCCCATGGAGAGAGCCCCCGCCGGGCGGCCACGGGCGCCCCAGAAGCCCTCGAGAGGGCCCGGCTTGGCCCCTGAGACGGTCCCCCGCAGAGATCTACAGGGCAGGTTTAAGACATGGGATTCTTTAAAAATATAGGATGTTTGAGACATGATTCGGGGATGGGCAGACCCCCCTTTAGTAAAACGTGGTTCAGTGAAAACGACCTGAGGCCCAAACCTGGCGGGCGCAAGCCTGGAAAACAACGGCCACGGCGCCCTCTCGAGAACCGAAAACGGACAATTCACTAATCGACGTGTCACTGTTGGGGGTTCTGTCCAGCCCCAAATGATTGATTGATGAGTAAATGTATGCATGAACTCATCGTTGTTGTTAATGCTAGATCCCTGCATGTACAGTACATGATCCGCGCGCGCGGAGCATGTATTAAAAACGGCACTGTAGCCCCAAGGCGGCCCCCCAAGATCTAGGTCGGGCATGTCCTCCTCCAGGCGGGTTTTGGAAGAAACTGCTTGGAAGTCATCCAGCACATGCTCAAACAGAAACAGAAAAAGAACAGAGAATCGTCACCTGACTATGTTTTTACGATTCTTGAAGGTTCCTCCTGTGAAAGGACTTAACCCAAGATACCCCAGCCGCCCCAGGAGGGCTCCAAGAGGACTTCGAGACGCCCCCAAGACACAAGAATCCATGATTCTGCATTGGTGTTCTAATGATTCTGGCGACACCGCATTTTCGAGCTACAGAGCGCCCTGGACGACCTAAGTGACCTCCAAAATCGCCTCAAGCCAGTCTCCGTGCATGACGATGGACACGAAAGACAGGAGAGAGGGGGGGGAGGAAGAGACCGACATAGGGGCAGAGAAGCGAGATAAGCGAGATAGAAAGAGCGCGAGCAAGAGAGGGAGGAAGGGAAGGAGGGAGAGAGAGGGAGCGCGAGAGAGAGAGAGGAACAAAAAAAAAGAAGTAGAGAGAAGAGAGAGTGGAGATCAGCGGAGCAGGAACGGGAAAAGGAGAGCTCTGCGGAACCTCTGGGAGAGCGTCCGCAGGGCAACCGCCAACCCTGGAAGACATCCACCGACGCTGGACGATTTTCGCTGGCCCAGGGCCAAGCTTGACCGATGTTCTCGCAAGATCGGCAGTCCAGGCGGGTACTGATCCCATATGGCCGACTCGCCGATGGAGCGGGAGCGCAGACAGTTCTGAACACTGCACGACCGCAACTACACTGAAGGGGCCCCAGGACACACAAATAAATACATACAAATAAAAATATTCACAATTGTTTTACCATATTTTCTGGGTTTCTGTCTTCCCCCCCACTTCCCATATTTTCCAATATTTTCTGGGGAATCGACGATTAATTGTGTCTGTGTGTTCTTTCCCCTCCTGAATAGATCCCGCCGCCCGAGACGAGCCGCAACTGCACCGCAGCACCCGGCCTGGATGATCGAGCGAACAGGAGCAGGAAGAGGAGGCGGCACGAAGGATTCGACAAAGCCACCGATACGAGTCCCCAGGAAAACGCAGCGGCGTGTCGGCCGACGCTGGGATCAGATCGGACGACGCCAGGGAGCCCGAGGTGCAGACGAGCCCGAGCGCACTCTCTCTGGGGCACTCCTGGCGGAGTCCCTCGCGCTGGTATAGTCCGCGAGGGCCGCCGAGCTCTGGTAGGACAGTCCTGCACTCCGTCAGGCCTCGTCTTGCCGTCGCTCGGACGTCCATTTCCAGTACATGTGTCGGTTTCGTGAGTGTTTTTTTTTGCTCGATGGTGCAGGATGGTCCTCGATGGTTCTCGCCGAGAACAAATGCACACGTCCGAGCGATGCCAAGTCCTGAAGCCTTCCGCAGCCCTGTGAAACTGTCTGGGCGAGTCTCGAAACTCTGCTGGAGCTCAATGGAACCATCTTGCAACACCACCAACCAACAGTGATGCGGGATGGGCCGGCGGAATGCGCGACGCGATCCGCCGCCCCACCTGGCACGGCGTGTGAGATCCCTGGCACATGGTCTGCAAGTTTCCCCTGTCCCTTGCCCACGCACTCCTCGTACCCATGCCCTTTCTCAGAGCCCTGGCAACCCCTCCTGGGGTCCTTCCCGCGGCCTGCTCATTCCGCTGGCCCCGGGGCCCTGGCTGCACCCTGGGCTTCTGCTGGCCGCCATTTGCCCTCAATTCAAGCAGGCCTGCGAACGAGAGAATTCTGGACGCCTCCGGGCGCCGTTTGGGACCTCTCCGCAAACCCTTCTGGGCAGTCTTCGGAGCCTCTTGGAGCCCTCTTGGCTTCATTTGGCCCCTTCTTGGGGCCCTCCGGGGCCGTCTCGGACCTCTCTGAGAATCTCTCTTCGAGGCATGTTCGGCCGAAACTCTGAAGAAGCCAAAAACTTTCTAAAACCGAGGGACTCTGACGATTTTCGCCGCTGAGGCCTTCTCTTTGCTCCTCTTAGAAATCTCTTGCAACATCAGGCCACGTTGGAATACCTCAGCATCTCCAAGGCCTCCCGGGCCGTCCTGAAGGCCTACCGGACCCAACTTGGGCCGTCTGGCCGCCCTTGTCGCGCCCTCTTGGGTCGTCTTGGGCGAGCCCAGGAGGTCCCTCGACGGCTTCCTGAGGCCCCGAAACTAAGTGGGGGGTGCTTATTTCTGACTCTCCCGATCCCTCTTCGGTTTCCTACGCCGTTTTCGACGCCTTTGGGTGCACTTTTCGCTCGTTTTCGGAGCCTCTTGGGGCCCTCTGGGGATATCCCTTGGCTTTTCTCCACGTCGTCTTGGACCCTCTGGGGCCGTCTTCGACCCCTCCCATAAACCTTCGCCCTAGCGCAGAAGAGGAGCCGTCTTAGACCCCGCCACTTCGCTGTGGCCTGCTAGTCTTCCGGCGTGTCCAGAAACCCTCTGTGGCCGTCTTCGACCCCCGCCCCATCCCATCTCGCACTCTGGTAGCACTTCAATTGCCCCCCTCTCCTGCACCAAGCCTCCCAAACTCTCCACGTTCATGTGTGGGGGGAAGCCCACAGGTACCGATACCGCTACAGTCGGGGCCTTGACCTAAGGAACCCAAGATAAGGAACGAGGCCCCTTTTTTTCCATAAGCTAAACTTCGATTTCCGATCGAAAACATAAGGAAAACATGAGGCAAGTTGCGAAACACTTAAGGAACGCGGAGCCCCTCCCCAACGAAAAGGACTCCTTCTTCAGGGCCCCGACTGTACTCTCTGCACCTCTCCTGGGGTGCCTCCTGACCAGGACTCCGAAGTGAATCCAGCAGTGGCGACGCCGGAACGCCGGAGGCCCCCAAGGAGCTATGGGCACCTCCTCCTCCTCAGGAAGGTGGGCTTCGCCGTCCCGAGCTCGGCCTTCTTTCCTCCCTTGGCGGTCTTCGGCGCCGGCTCCTCCTCCTCGAAGCCGCCGGACGGCCTCCTCTCGGAGAGCGCCACGACCTGGCCGAGGGGAAGCCCCACCTCTCCCACTCAACCTCTCCCTTCCCCCAGAAGGAGGAGGAGGAGGAGGAGGAGGAGGAGGAGGAGGGGGAGGGGGAGGAGGGGGAGGGGAAGGGGGAGGAGGACGAGGATGGATGGATGGATGGAGCGGTCGCGAAGCGATGTAACACGGCACGCAGACCTTCCCGACGAACCAGACGACCAAGTAGGACACGTCGAGGAGCCCGGGTATGCCGGCGCTGACCACGAGCTGAAATGAGAAGTACGGGAACGGCAATAGGCAGATACCACGTGTGAGTCCCTCACTCCAGACCTAAGAATACCAGAGAACTGAAGCTTCACTCCTTCCCACCAACCTCGCTGGAACGAAAAATGAAATAAGTGAGCCCATGATAGGAGAGACGGCTAAGCCGAAACGAAGACTGCTCGATGCGGCCCTTATTCAATGGACCGAAACCATTGGTCATCGGGCAACCCCATATCCTGGAAAAATACAAGATCGCAGCCTCCGCAGGCGGCCTCGCCCCCAGCTAACCGTAGGAACACTATGACAAAAGTCTGAAGCACCAGGACACTATGCGAGGCGCCAAAATCTCTGGCCAGTAGCTGTAGCACAATTTATGGTGAAGCGCTCGCCCAGTGCGGCACCGAAAGTGAGGGCGCTCCGAGGGGACCGCGCATAAACCAGACAAGAAAATACCAGTGTATGCGCTAGCCCATGGCTGGAGTGCAAGAGACGATGCGCCGAGGAGACCGCGCCTGCCGTTGTTCGCCCTTCTCGCACGTGCTGAGTTCAGCGTTGTAGCTGACGGCTGCAGGCACACACCCTGCCTTCTCGCACTTGCTGATCCGAGCGATGTAGCTGATGGCGCCCCCTTTATCGAACGAGCCACTCCACCACCTCTACGTTTGGGATTCAAATCGTCGTACTTGCTGTAGCACGGGTCTGTGACTATGAACGCGTTGTTGCCGACGGTCGCATTGTAGCCCAATACGTCACCGACGCCGCCCACCGTCACAAAGAACCCTATCCAGCAAAGCAGCAAATCACCAGAATACCGAAACATGATCGGGTTCGCTCCGCTTGGCCACCAGGAAAGCTGTCACAGAAACAGGATGCTGCCTGGTGCTCCTCAAGCGCCGACGGGAAGGCGCGGAGCTGGGTGTCCCATGGCCAGTTCGAGCCCAAATGGGTACGACGCTCGCCACGGGCCACCTGTGCTTGAGGGGAGGGGGAGGAGGAGGAGGAGGAGGAGGAGGAGGAGGAGGAGGAGGAGGAGGAGGAGGAGGAGTCACCCTCTCCCATGCCCACACTCCCCCTCCCTCCACCTCCCTCGCGCCCCCACCTCATCGCTCGAATCCCCTCTGCCTCCTCTTCCCCCAGCCTTCGCACTCCAGTTCCCTCCCCCTTCCTCCCCCATCACCCACTTCTTTTTCTACCCATGCCCTCCTGCCCTCCACCTTCCCCGTCCTTTCCCCTTCCCTCTTTTGCCCCCCCCTCCTCACTGAAAATCCAGTGTGAGGGCACTGGCACGGCCGTTCATGAACTACTGCCGCCGTGAGGACGAAAGTTCAAGGCTACCAGCCTGTCCAAAATTCGGCGGCGAGCGAGGGGGGGGAAATGAGAAGGGGCGGGCCTTCTCAGAAGGCTCAAAGTCCCCCGGCCTCGGGAGAAGTGTTCTAAGCCTTTCCAGAAGACACTGAAAACTTCTCAGAAGGCCCGAGGGCTTCTGAGAAGTCTCGCCGCCTTCTGAGAAGGCCTTCTCCTCCTCACTTGCCCCCCTCGCTCGCCGCCAAAAAGTCAGCCCTTACAGAACCTGGCAGCGGAATCCACGTCACATCCGCGGCCAGACTGCCTCCACAGTGCAGCCACGCCACGGCGCCCCCGACTCCGCCGGCACGGCTCCTGCTCGGCAACGCGGGGGGCTGCTCGGCACAACCTGGCTCTGCACCGCGAACAGGGAATGCGTGGCGCATTGCCCTTCTCAGAAGGAGGCGCGATGAGGATGCAAGGGCCTTGGAAGCCCATTCCTTTCGAGGCTTTTCGAGCGGGGCGCGGAAAACAAAAGTGGCCAAGGATGGACCGAGGAGGCAAGGATGCAAGGGTACCCTTGGGAACGTTGCCCTTCCTTACTATGCGGGTGGACTGCAATATATCAGGCACTCCGTCGTGGACTTTCCCGAGAGGATTCCACTTCTGCAGCAGGGTGGTATCTGGCAAAAACTTGCAAGAGCTGATCGAGGTAAAAACAACAACTATGTATTCATGCTGCGAACCTGGAAAAGCGGGAGAACACAAGATTTCCGATTTGCCGGGGAGCACGAAAAGAAGGAGCGAAGAAAGACGCACAACGAGATGACAAATGAGCGCGTAGTTGTGTATAGATATAGATATGTGTACAGATGTGTGTACGGTACAAGTACACCGGCACATGTGTACGTGCGCAACTATAGAGACGTGTTTATACACACTGGCACCACGCGCGCGCTTCGCGTGCGCTTATGCTCAAGCCGTACCGAAGGAACTCGTATATCAAACTGCCAGTGAAGAATGCAATGACGATTCCGGAGCTCCCTCGGGGTCGGTAGTGGACCCTGCTACAACTAATATTGAGGATCCCGGCAACGTGTATGTGGGAACCATTTGTCGTGTGCGCTCCAGGCTGTGTCGCGAGAGCGCTTCTCCATCGAATTGATGTGACGCGCCACTTGAAGCAGCAGCCTACATACAATATATGATATAGGCTTGTGAATGCCATGACCATGGACACCCTAACAATCCGATCATTGAATTAAAGATGTGTTTACAATGTATGAGAGCATGTTCTGAAAATGTTTCAAGCATGTTCTTAACATACTTCAAACATGTTTGAAACATGTGTTAGAGACCTGGAAATCACTTCGCAGCATGCTTCCTCTCCATTAATCGTCCTCCACAGAGCTCAACTGTGAAGGGGCCCTGGGACACACAAATATATACACACAAATAAAAAGGTCTCCCCATATCTCCCCATATGTTCTGGGTTTCTGTCCTCCCCCCCACTGCCCCTATTTTCCCATATTTTCTGGGGAATCGACGATGAATTGTCTCTGTTTGTTTTCTCCCTCCCGAAACTGTCGTAGCGCGCCGCGGATCGGCAGGCAGGCCCCCGTGCCGTCTGCCTCCCGGACGGGCCCCGCCGGGAGCGGCCAGAGAGTCTGCCTGCTCGCCGCTGCGGCGCTCGCCGCGCGGGAGGACGAGGAGCAGCAGCAGCAGCAGCAGCAGCAGCAGCAGCAGCAGAGGCTTGGATTACCAGCCTCGAACGTATCCCTTCCCCTAAGATTAACACGCCAAAAGACGATGACAATCTTAGGGATGCGCCCTCACAAAAAAAAGGAAATCCCTAAGATTGGCATCGTGATGAGGAGGTGCCAATCATAGGGATAGGGATATGTTCCAGGCTGGTAAGCAGCAGCAGCAACCCAGAGGCTTGGAGGCTTCCTCCGCGCTTCTTGCGCTCCTCCTGATCCGCCAGAGGGCCACAGGAGTAGCTGGACAAAGAGGGGTGCCCGAGCCTGGCTCCGTGGTGCACGCCGCCAGGGCCAAACCAGGGTGGATCGAAGGCTGCCTCCCCCCCTCCCTCTCTGGCCACGCACCTGGGACCAAGCCACGGTGCAACGAAGGCCAGAAAACCCTTCTTGGACACACCCGCAAGGTCTCAAGGTCGATGACTTTACCTTCTGGGGGTCATCATTGAAGAGCTTTCCAGCCACCTCCAGCAATCCTTCCGCATGTTTGGATCCTCTTGGACGGACGCATGCTGGAGATGCGGCCTTCGGCGTTTTGGGGGGGCCGTTTTGGAACTCTCTTGGGAGCCTGCATGGTTATCTTGAGGTCTCCTTGGTCCGTTTTGGGGCCGGCTTGGGGGCCGTCTTGCGCCAGCCCTTATCCTGAACTGCACTGTCCGACAATATACGTTCGTCAAACGCATGGGAAAAAAGTACAGGTGATGCGTATCGAACGAATAATATCCATGATAATTGCAACCACATCGGGGCGGATACGTAATGAGAATGTCGTACAAGGGCAGGCGCATGGGATGATGAGGTACGTTTGGCAAGGCACTCTGATCCTCCCAAACCGACCCATCTAGACGCCATCCCCCTCGCCCACACACTCCTGCATCCCTGTCCACTTCCAAATCAGCTCCCTGCCGGCTGGTCTTATGTCAGGCCTGTCCCCCATACAGGGGGATTGTCGAGGAACAATTAAAAAATGCCAAAAAAACAAAAATAAAAATACTCAAAAAATCGTCCCCAGACTATTTTTTGCACTATTTTTCAAATATTCATCCTGTAGAGGGACAGGCCCGATTTAAGGCTGGCCACTCTCTCCCTCCTGCCTCCAGCTGCTCTTTGCCTTCGCTCCCCCATCCCCTGCCCCCATCCCCATCCACACAGGCTGCCAAAACCCCCTCCCCCTGGCCCTTCTTTCCTGCCCTCCTCCCCCAGCCACACACCATCCCCTCATCACCTTCCCTCTTCCTGCACCACGCTCCCCTTTCCTAGGAGGCCTCCTAGATGGGGTCCGAGTAGATGGGGTCAGAAGATCGCGCCGCATCGCCGATACATCGGCGATGCACCAGCGATGCATCGGTGATGCACCGGCGATGCATCGTCGACGTCGGCGATGCATCGGCGAGCTCGACGTGAAACACATCGGGCCCCACATCGAGCCGCATCGGCGATGCATCGGCGATACGGCGCGACCCTCTGACCCCGTCTACTCCGACCCCATCTAGGAGGCCTAGATTTCCTGCTCCCCCGTGTGCCCAACCCTCCACGTGCATCCCCCCGGCTTCGGCAGCAGACCGCAGCGACGAGCCGCTCGTGGATGACCCCGACTCCGTCCCAGGTGGCAGCCTGGGGAGGCAGAGGAGGAGGGCGGAGAGAGAGAGAGGGAGAAGGGGAGGCGAAGTGGCAAGGGCAGGAACCGGAGCGGAAGGAGGAGGCGGAGGACGAGCAGGAGGGTTTTCGATCCCACCAGCCCTTTGAGGCGTGAGTGGTTTGGAGCGCTTCATCTTCCAGCTTCCCTGAGATTCGGCCCTGCGGCGGCGCCACGACGCCGCCCGCTCGATGTTGTCGGAGCTCGCACCGGGACGACCTCCAGGGGCTGCCGAGGTGTCGACCCGCCTCTGGCGCGGAGGATGCGGCGCACATCGCAGGCAGCATCGACGCTCTGCTTAGACTTTGGACGCCCGAAATGGGCACGGAAAGAATGGGCACTATGCCCAACAACAAATGTTGTCCCAAGCCAACAGCGGCCGCCGTTGGGTAGGCGGCCTTCCGTCTCGAATGGACACAGGCCGCGGCGGCGTGGACAGCGAATCCTGTTCAAAATGAACAGGGGAATTGCTGCTGGGCATTGTACCCATTCTTTCAGTACCCATTTCGGGCGTCCAGATAGACGCGCGAAGACACCCCGCTGGGCCGAGGGGGCGCACCCAAGACTGCATTGCCCGTCGCATCCCGAAAAGAACCTCTGGACCAGTGGGAAACTCACTCTCGCGTGAAGTCGGGCCTGTCCCCCTACAGGGGGATTTTCGACGAAAAACAAAAAAGACCCCAAGAATGATCAAAAAACAGTCCAAAAATAGTCTGGGGACTATTTTTCAAAATATTTGTCGACCTTTGGGGGGCATTTTGGGGGGCATGTTTGGTGTTTATTTTTCATTTGTCATCGAAAGTCCCCCTGTATGGGGGACACGCCCGACATAACTCTCGCGCCAACGCTCGCCTCCACGCACGGGCCCTCTCCAGGGTGGCGAGAGCGGCGCGCGGGGGAGACTCCACCAGTCAGTCCCCCCCCCGCAGCAGCAGCAAAGCACGGAGAAAGCGCTGCGCCCTTCCCCCGGCCAAGGCCCGCGCCGGCTGCTGCTGAAGGGGCCCCAGGACGCACACAAATAAATACACACAAATAACAGGATCCCCCATATTCTCCCCTACTTTCTGGGTGTTTGTCTCCCCCCCCTTCCCATGTTTTCCCATACTTTCCTGGAAGTTGACGATGATTTGTGTATGTGCGTATCTTTGTCCCCTCCTGAGCTGTTCCACGGCACCAACCCGAGCCCCACCACTGCGAGGCGGGGATTGATACATCTCCACCGCCTGCGAACCGACGGCCTGGTGCCCCAGCGGGCTATGGAGATGGATATCTTTTGGCCCCTGGTTGCCCGAAAATATGCATATCCACTGCCCGTGGAGGTTCGCGAAGATCCATCCCACAGGGCATTGGTCCTGGATGGATCCCCGCCTCGGAACCACCCTCCGCGCACCTCGCCCTCGGGCCTGACCTCGTGGGCAGGCGACCTGCCAAACGGGCGCAAAATCCCGCGCTGACGGCAGAGTCGGACACCGCGGGGCCGCCTTTCTGGTTGGCCCGCTCCCTCGCTGATCCCAACGCTAGGGCTCCCAACTTCGCGCTTCGCGCTGCGCGAAGCGCGAAGCGCGAATAACTTCGCGCTCTCGCGCCGCCCTCCCAAAGGGAGAATAGGAGGACGAGGAGGAGGGGGAGAAGGAACGAGGACCGCGAAGCGCGAAGCGCGAATAACTTCGCGCCCTCGAGGGAGCCCTTGCCAACGCGCCCCGCGCCATCTCGTTGGCGGGCGTTCTTTGGGCCCCCGTCAGCGAGCGCCGCCTGCACGCGACGTCCTGCGCGGGAGCCCTCCGACGCGGTGCGCCCGAATACCGTCGGGGCGTGGACCTAAGGAACCCTAAATAAGGAACGAGGCCCCCTTTTTCCCAGAAGCTCAACCTTCATTTCCCATGGAAACCCTCGGGAAAAGCCGAGGCAAACTTTGAAACAATCGAGGAACACCGAGCCCCTCCCCAGCGAAAAGGGTTCCTTCTTCAGCGCCCCGACTGTAGTTCTGGGGCACACGCACCAGTCCAGGGCAGAGCAGGCCTTGGGAGGGCGTCAGGCGAGGCCTCTGGAAGCAGTGAGGGAGCAAAAGCAGACTCTCCGGGGAGAGGGGGGGGAGGGGAGGGGGGAGGGGAGGGGAGAGAAGGGTACAGTCGGGGCCTTGACCTAAGGAACCCTAAATTCGCCGGCCCAACGGGCCAGAGGCGTGCTAAGATCTCCGGTATCTGCTAAATAATACTTCTACTTCGCGCGCGCGGGGCGGCCCCTGGGGGTCCCCCGACGAAAAGTACCCCGGGCGATCTCCGGCAGACTCGGGTCAGAGATGGTTTTCCTCCTGGGCGCCGCCCCCGTGGCCCTCCAGAGAGCCCCAAGAAGGGCCACGAGGCCGCCAAGAGCCCTCCAAGATGGTTCAAGAGTGCTCCGAGATGCCACACGATCGTTCCAAGACGCCCAAGATGGCCCCCAGACGCCCCAAGAGGCCTCCAAGAGCACTCCCCAGAGGGCCCCAAGAGGCAAAATTCATTACTTTTCCTTAGGTTTTGGGCAGATTTTGGCGTGTCCATCTTTTCGGCTTCCCGACGCCCCAAGACGGCCCAAGAGGCCCCCAAGATCGCCCCAAGAGGGCCCAAGAAGCTCCCAAGAAGGCCCCAAGATGGCCCAAGAGGGCTCCAAGACGGCCCCAGAGGCATCCAAGACGGCCCAAGAGGGGCCCAAGAGGGCCCCAAGCGATGCCCCAAAGGGGGAACACAAAACAAAACTTCGAGCCCTCGGCCTTAAGAAGCCCCCAGGAGGCCTCAAGAGGCCCCTGAGAGGCCCCAAAAGCCCCCAAGAGGCCCTCAGGAGGCCCCCAAGCGACGCTGAAGAGGCCCCCCAGCGGCCCCAAGAGGCTCAGTCATGCGAAATGGGCCGGCGGAATGAGCGAAGCGATTCAATAAGGAACGAGGCCCCTTTTTTCCACAAGTCAAACTTCGATTTCCCATCGAAAACATAAGGAAAACCTGAGGCAAGCTGTGAAACAATGAGGGAGCACGGAGCCCCTCCCCAACGAAAAGGGTTCCTTCTTCAGCGCCCCGACTGTAGGAGACGAGAGGGAATCTGGAGGGGAGGGGCGGCGGGGAGGAGAGGAGAGGCCAGGGGATGCATGGGGAAGAGAAGGCGGCGCCGGACGCGGGACGCGCGAGTCCACTGGCCAGCGGCCGGCAGGCCCCATCAGGGGCAGCGCGGGCGGACGGACGGGCATCGGGAACGAGGGCGAGCGAAAGGGGAAGGCGGACTCGGACCCTCCCCTTGCGCTGGCGGGCGGACGGGCATCGGGAACGAGGGCGAGCGAGAGAAGAGGGCGGACTCGGGCCATCCTCGCGCGCTCCCGCGGGGGTCTTGAAGGGGCCCCGGGACACTCAGATAAAGAGACACAGGTAACAGGATTCCCCATAGTTTCCCATCTGTTCTGGGTCTCTGTTTTCCCCCCCTCACACTTCCTATGCTTCCCCACGTTTTCTGGGGAATCGACGATCAAGTGTGTCTGTGTGTGTTGTTTCCCTCCTGAGCTACACGTGCATGCATCCACGCCGGCTCCGAGAGCACGCACTGCGCGAACGCTCGTACCACGCGGCTGGCCCCCCGGACTGGGAGCCGTGTAGGGCGCCTCTTCGCGAAGCCCCGCGCGGAGCGCATCCAAGCGACTGCGTATCTTCGGGAGCGGCCAAGAGGGGGGTGTCCAAGAGGGGGGGGTGCAAATCAGGACCGGCGGCATGTGCGCGGCCCAGCGGGGGGGGCAGGGACGTAATGGAATAAGAAGAGGCGCCACGAGATCTGGGGAAAGATCATGGCCCCCGCCATGATATCCACCCCCCCCTAGTCATCACCCCCCTCTTTTCCGCCCCCGATATCTACGGGATCGCGCACCCCCCCGGATCTGTGGTATCTACGGGATCGCGGATCTGCCTATCCTGGAGGAGGGCGGCCTCGGGCGCCCTCCCCGTGCGCCCGCGCGGGGTGGATCTTGGGGCACACCGGGCGGCCCGCCCCCCCCCCGCACGGGGGCCCCGCCTGCGCCCAGTCGAGCACGCAGTACAGCGGCTCCAGGCAGGCGTCGCAGACGTCGAGGACCTGGTCCACCTCGGGGGGCGCCACGAGGCGGGGAGGGGAGGGGGGGGGGGAGGGAGGGGAGGGGAGGGGGGCAAGCTAGGTGCGCGCGCGTCATATCTGACGTCCTACCCCACCCACCCATCCCTTACCATGGCGCTGATTTTCTCTATCCGCGGACTAGTGGGTGTGGTGCGTGCGTGCGTGCGTGCGTGCGTGCGTGCGTGCGTGCGTGCGTGGTTGTGGTGGTGGTGGTGGTGGTGGTGGTGGTGTGGTGGTGGTGGTGGTGGTTGGTGGTGGTGGTGGTGGTGGTGGTGGTGGTTGGTGGTGGTGGTGGTGGTGGTGGCGGTGGTGGTGGTGGTGGTTGGTGGTGGTGGTGGTGGTGGTGGTGGTGGTGGTGGTGGTGGTGGTGGTGGTGGTGGTGGTGGTGGTTGGTGGTGGTGGAGAGGGGGGGGAGGGGGGGAGGGAAGGAGGGGTGAGGGGAGGGGGGGAGCATCCCGCAGCGGCATCTCGGGACAGGCTCGACCGCAGAGGGGGGGGGAGGGGCGTGCCTCCCTCGTGCTCGACGAGCTTGTGAGAGGAGGGGGAAGAGCCGCAGCAGACGCACGAGGGGGCGGAAACGGTAGCAAAAAAGCAGGGCGGCGCGAAAGCACGTGGACAGCTCCCTGGGAAGCCCACGGAGGCCTGGAGGTCGATGGCGACCGGGGGGGGGACGGAGAGCACCTTACAGTCAACCAGCATCATAAGGGCGCGCGATAAGGATGCAAGGGCGTTGGAAGCCCATCTCGAAGCTTTTCGAGCAGGGCGCGACCAATGAAGGAGGCCAAGGATGGGCCGAGGAGGCAAGGATGCAAGGGTACCCTTGGAAAGGTTGCCCATCCTTACTACGCGGGACGACTGTATCCCCCACACTGTCGGGAGCGCCACTGCAGATGCCTCTTCTGGGGATGGGCTGCGGGGGGCGCAGAGGGGCCCCCCGCAGGCCACCCGAAGCAACGAGGCTGCCGCATGGCCGGCGACCGAAGATGCCACCGCGGCTCCTCAGGATGGCGCCGCGCGACAAAATGTGTCACATGGGGCCTGCGGCACCAGACAAGGCATAGACATCGCGCCCTGCCCCCTGCGTCGGCACTGCGCGACAACTGCACGAGGAGGAGGAGGAGGAGGAGGAAAAGGGGGAGGAAGATGAGGAGGAAGAGGAGGAGGAGGAGGAGCAGGAAAAAGAGGAGGAGGAGGAGCAGGAAAAGGAGGAGGAGGAGGAGGAGGAGGAGGAGGAGGAGGAGGAGGAGGAGAGAGCCCATGGAGGGATCCAGGAGGCCCCTGAGACCGGAGCAGGAAACGCCCGCTCGCGGTGCTACTGGCTCCGCGAGCAAGACCTCGGGGCTCAGACTGCAGAGCCCTCCACCCCTCCCGAAGCGGCTCCGTGGAGGCCCCACGGAGGCCGCCCGAGGCGCGGATTGGGCATCCTGCTCGCCACGCTTCGAGGGCCTTGCAGGGCCTCAAGAGGTCACCGCGAGACCACGTTGGGGGAGAGACGCCCGTCGAGGGGGAGGAGGAGGAGGAGGAGGAGGAGGAGGAGGAGGAGGAGGAGGAGGAGAGGAGGAGGAGAGGAGGAGGGAGGAGGAAGGAGGAGAGGAGGAGGAGGAGGAGGGGGAGGAGGAGGAGGAAGAAGAGGAGCTGGAGGCGGGGCGGAGCAGCCCGCCCGCGACGCCCGGGGAGCTGCCGGAGACCGGCAGGGCCTGGGCGCCCATGGCCCACCGACGGCTCCACGGCTGCCCCCTCTCGGATGCTCCCCCGGAGGCTGCGGGAAGCCTCCGGAGGCTCCCTCGAGGGCCCCGTGGAGGCCGCAGGTGCCACTGGAGTCCACGCGAAGCCCCCGGAGACCCCCCTGAAGCCAGGGGAGGTGCCAGGACCCCCTGGCAACTGCGGGGGCGGGCGGGGGGGGGGGGGCACGCCTCGAGGCCACAGAAGAGTCTCCCACCAAGCCCACAGTCATCCCCGTGGAGGCTCCTGGAGGCCCCCGCGTCTTCCGCCTCGAGGGTGGCGGCGCCGTGCTCAGGGGCATGGCAGGAGAGAGCCCGACGACAGACAAAGCACCTCTCCCTCGCTCAGGGCCACCGCTTGCCCACACCAGCGAAACCGCAGCGGCCCCTCCACGAAGAACTCGTAGAGGTCCTGCAACGGGGCACTTGCAAAGCAAGGCGCGGTCCGCACGCTGCCAGAGACCATCATCCAAGGTACCAGCACCGGGTGCGCGCGCGGTCCTCGCTCGAGGGAACGGATATCGTCGTGGCAGCTCGTGGCGTCTCGCTCACCGTTCAAATCCCACCCGTCCTCTGCACGTGGGTGCTCTGGGGGGAGTCGTTGTTTCAAGCCCCCAGTCTGGGCATCGCTCGGACGTCCATTCCCTGTGTTTGTTTCGGTTTCGTGCGTGGCTTTTTCGCCAAATCATCAAGGATGCTCCTCGACGGTCCTCGCCGAAGGAAAAATGCACACGTCCGAGCGATGCCAAGCAGTGTTCCCCTTCCGGGAGAGGTTTGTCAATGCTCTCCACTGAAACGCACCCCCTCCCGCGCTCGATCGGCCGCCACGCAGCACCGTGCGGGCCCCCACCCCCGCCATCCCTTTCGAAAACACACACCACGCAGAGCACGTGCCGTCAAAATCTGGAACGTGCGCGGACGCCCCGCGATGTGCGCTCGCCCACTAGCCCCTCAAAACGCGATGCAGAATAAAATTGGTTGCGCACACACAAACCCACACACACACACACACACACACACCAAGCACCCTTCTGGCCGCCACACCCCTAGTGTCGACATGTCGCCTGATACGTGCTGCCACGTGCACTGGCACACCTGTCGCCGCCTGGTGCTCTCTGCTACCGTCACGCACGTGGCGCACCTGGCGCGGCTGGAGCACGTGGCACACGAGGCGCACCTGGCGCATCAGAAGCACCAGGCGCGCTCGGCACACTTGAGACATGCACCTGGCGCATCTGGCTCGTGCCGCACCTGGTGCGTGCGGCGCACCTGGCACGCGTGGCGCCCCATGGCGAGCGTCGCGCACGTCGCGTCTCTCCATCCGATGGTGCCCTCTGCCTGTGATGCATCGCGGGTGCTGCGTGCATGGCGGGAGGGCGAGCGGGAGAAAGCGAGGCAGCTAGCGGCGTTCCCACGATGAACTGGACCGCCCAAGACGGCCCCAGATAGCCCAAGATGGCGTCCAACATCGCACAAGGTAGCCCAGTATAGTTCAGAGTAGCTCCCAACATGCCTCCAAGAGGCCTCGAGACAGCCACAAGATGGCTCCGAGCGGGCAAGGAGCCTCCCAATGAGGCCTCCCAAGCGTACGGTCTCATTGATGTGTGCTTTCTCGCCGTGTAGCTTCCGATTGGCTTCTGAGGCCTCGAGATGGCTCCGAGATCGCACCAGAGAGCCCCAGGAGGGGACCGTAAGGTTCCCATTCGGTCCCAAGAGCGTCCCGAGAGCGCTCAATGAGGGCCCCAGCCGACTTGTGGTATGGCTCCGATGCGGGGGGAAGCAAAGTGGTGCCACCCCGCTTCGCAAAGCAGTATCCGCCACCGTGCCCCGAGGCACAGCGGAGTGTCCTCAGGTCGGAGCCCTGTCCTGAGTCCTCGAAAATGGAAATTGGTGGGCCTAGACCCCAAATTGCCAGGGTGTGTCGCGTGTTGTCGTCCCTCTTCGCAGCTGGCACCTAGTCGTGGTCGCCGTAGCCGTCGTCCACTCGAACTCACTCCCTCACCCAAGAACTCAAAGGCAGACACTCATAGCGGATAGGGAACGAGATGCACATAGAGGGATCTCCGGGTCCTCGTTTTGAAGAGCCAGCGCACCACATCTCACTTCTCCTCTTTCCTCCTACCCCTCTTCCCGCCATCCTTCTTCCTATCCCAGTGGCGCCGTCCGCATGGATTCGCGCCGCCCATTTCGGCGCACCCCTAACACGCGTCTTAGCCCCATAGGGAGCTCCACCGAAGGCCCCAGCGGCTGCGGCCGCATGCAGTTCGACCCCCATTTCGGCACACCCCTCACACGTTTCGTGGCCCCATAGGGAGCCCCACGCAAGGACCAAGTGGCTGCGGCCACATGCGGTTCCACTCCCATTCTGGCACACCCCTCGTACGTTTCTTGGTCCCAGAGGAAGCTCCACCGAAGTCCCCAATGACAGGGTTCACGTGCGGTTCCACCCCCCATTTCGGCACACCCCTCACGTTTCGTGGCCCCAGGGGAAGATCCACCGAAGGCCCAAGTAACAGATTTTGCGTGCGGTTCCACACCCATTTCGGAGCATCTCTCACACATGTCGTGGTCCCACTGGGAGCTCCACCAATGGGAGGGTTCGCATGCGGTTCCACCCCGATTACGGCATACCCCTCACACGCTTCAAGGCCCCACAGGGAGCTCCACCGAAGGCCACAGTGGCAGGGTTCGCATGCGGTTCCACGCCCATTTCGGCAAACCCCTCGCAAGTTGCGTGGCCCCACAGGAAGCTCCCCCCAAAGCAGTAACCACAACGCGGTATGCACAACTGCAGATGATGGTTGCGTCCTTCGCCCGGATAGTTTTTCGGGGGCATCATTGGGAGGCGTTCGGTTCAGAGTGCCTCCAAGATGGCCCAGGATACTGTAAGAATGACTGCCTCCAAGATCGCACAAAATAGCCCAATTTGGCTCAAGATGGCTCCTGGCATACCTCCGAGAGGCCCCGACGCGGCCCAAGGATGACTTCAAGTGGTCTCGGAGCCTCCAAGGACGCCCCCGAGAGACCAAAATCCTGCAAGCACCTCTCGCACGTTCGCTTCCGATGGGCATACGACGCCTCAGGATGGGCATAGGGCGTCAAGATGGCCCCAAGAGAGTCCCAAAAGCGCTGCAAGAGGTCCCCAAGAGGCGAGAGTTCGGGGTCCGACGGAAATGAGTCAACTGACGCCACTCCATTCTTGATCGATGGCGTTCTGCTTCGGCCCCGAGGACCCCGAAGGCCGCCAAGAGGGCCCCAGGAGGGCCCCTCAAGAGCCCTAAGAGAGCACACCCCCGAGAGAGTCCCAAAGGTCTCCTAAATGGCCCCGAAAAGGCCCCTAGATGTCCAAATGCGATTCCACGAGCCTCGAATCATACGCGAAGGCATGATGGGTGGCTCCTGGAACTGCCCAGGCTGATTCCGAGTTTCGGTTTTATGTGAGCCCCCCTTCATTGCTCCACTGCTTGCTCCTGCACGTCCCTGATCAAGGCAACTCTCTTGAGCATCGTTTCTGGAGTGGCTGGTGGGGACACGCGAAGCGTGAAGAATTCTCTCCGTTGGCCTTTTCCCACATGCTTACCTGCCAAATTATCGAGCCGAATTACGCCATGTTGACGTTGAAGCCCCTCATAGAAAGGGAGGATAAATATATAAAATATATATGTACATGTATTTATACATATAGTATATATATTATATATATATATATATATATATATATATATATATATATATATGACGATTGCTCAATGTAGCGGACCTCAGCAGAATTCCGTCAGGCCCAGGAGAAGGGGAGGGAGGGAAGGAGGGGAGAATGGGGGGAGGGACAGAGACAGAGAAAGAGAGACAAGAGGAGAAGCCCATCAGGGCCGGGAGGTAGGGTCCCAGCCCAGAGAACCCCAGGAAGGCTTTGCACGATCGCATCGCAGGAGATAAGAGATGGGCAGCTCCCTGGGTCGACCTCCAGTGCCCAGAGACGCTCGCCATCACCACGACCCTGGATTCTCAATCGCCAAAAAACCAGTCACGATGCTGGCAAAGAAGATGCTCAGCTGGAGACGGCCCGATCCTCGACCGCGCCCTCGGCGCGAAGGGCTCCCGAGCCCACGAGGGACCCGAAAGCA